TCGCCTCAGCCCAAAAACTCCTGAAACTGATAAGCAACTTCAGCAAAGTCTCAGGATATAAAATCAATGTGCAAAAATCACAAGCATTGGTCTACACCAATAACAGACTTAAAGAAAGCCAAATCAAGAATGAACTGCCATTCACAATTGCTACAAAAAGAATAAAATACCTAGGAATACAACTCACAAGGAACGTAAGGGACCTCTTCAAGGAAAACTACAAACCACTGCTCAACAAAATAAGAGAGGACACAAACAGATGGAGAAACATTCCATGTTCATGGTTAAAAAGAATCAATATCATGAAAATGGCTATACTGCCCAAAGTAATTTACAGAATCAACGCTATCCCCATCAAGCTACCATTGACTTTCTTCACAGAACTGGAAAAATCCACCATGAACTTCATATGGAACCAAAAGAGAGCCCGCATAGCCAAGTCAATTCTAAGCAAAAAGAACACAGCGGGGGGCATCACACTACCGGATTTCAAACTATACTACAAGGCTACAGTAATCAAAACAGCATGGTACTGGTACCAAAACAGAGATATAGACCAATGGAACAGAACAGAGGCATCGGAGACAACACAACATATCTACAACCATACAATCTTTGATAAACCTGACAAAAACAAGCAATGGGGAAAGGATTCCCTGTTTAGTAAATGGTGTTGGGAAAACTGGCTAGCCATGTGCAGAAAGCAGAAACTAGATCCCTCCTGACACCTTACACGAAAATTAACTCCAGATGGATTAAAGACTTAAACATAAGACTTGGCACCATAAAGAAGAAAATCTAGGCAAAACCATCCAGGACATAGGAGTAGGCAAGGACTTCATGAACAAAACACCAAAAGCATTGGCAACAAAAGCCAAAATAGACAAATGGGACCTAATCAAACTCCACAGCTTCTGCACGGCAAAAGAAACACTCACTAGAGTGAGTCGGCAACCAACAGAATGGGAAAAAATTTTTGCAGTTTACCCATCTGACAAAGGGCTGATATCCAGAATTTACAAAGAACTCAAACAGATTTACAGGAAAAAAACAAACAAGCCCATTCAAAAATGGGCAAAGGATATGAACAGTCACTTTACAAAAGAAGACATATATGAGGCCAACAATCATATGAAAAAATGCTCATCATCACTGGTCATTAGAGAGATGCAAATCAAAACCACATTGAGATACCATCTCACGCCAGTTAGAACAGCAATCATTAAAAAATCTCGAGAAAACAGATGCTGGAGAGGATGTGGAGAAAAAGGAACACTTTTACGCTGTTGGTGGGAGTGTAGTGTAAATTAGTTCAACCATTGTGGACGACAATGTGGCGATTCCTCAAGGCCTTAGAAATAGAAATTCTATTTGACCCAGCAATCCCATTACTGGGTATATATCCAAAGGACTATAAATCATTCTACTATAAGTACACATGTACACGAATGTTCATTGCAGCACTGTTTACAATAGCAAAGACCTGTAACCAACCCAAATGCCCATCGATGATAGACTGGACTGGGAAAATGTGGCACATATACACCATGGAATATTATGCAGCAATCAGAAATGATGAGTTCGTGTCGTTTGTAGGGACATGGATGAATCTGGAGAACATCATTCTCGGCAAACTAACACAAGAACAGAAAATGAAATACCGTATGCATCTTCTCACTCATAAGCGGGTGATGAAAAATGAGAACACATGGACACAGGGAGGGGAGTACTAAACACTGGGGTCTATTGGGGGGAAAAGGGGAGGGCCATCGGGGGGGGATAGCCTGGGGAGAAATGCCAAATGTGGGTGAAGGGGAGAAAGGAAGCAAAACACACTGCCATGTGTGTACCTATGCAACTGTCTTGCATGTTCTGCACATGTACCCCAAAACCTAAAATGCAATAAAAAATAAAAAATAAAAATAAATAAAAATAAAAAAAACGAAAGCCCCAAATATTCCCCTCCAAAAAAAATATTAGTTTGCTGGGTGTGGTGGCTCATGCCTGTAATCCCAACACTTTCAGAGGCCAAAGCATGAGGATAACTTGAGCCCAGGAGTTTGAGACCAGCCTGGGCAACATAGCAAGACCCCTATCTCTACTTTAAAAAAAAAAAAAAAAAACTTATTAGAATAAACAAATTCAGCTAAGTTAGAAGATATAAAATCAATAAAAAAATCAACTGCATTTCTATACACTAACAACAATAAATCTAAAAAAAAAAATCAAGAAAATAATCCCATTTACAATAGCATCAAAAAGATTAAAATACTTAGGAATACACTTAACCAGAGAGATGAAAGACTTATTCACTGAAAACTACAAAAAAAAAAAGAATGAAATAAAACACACAAATAGATACCTCACGTTCATGATTAGAAGATTTAATAGTACTCAAATTACTATACTACTCAAAGCAATACAGATTAAATGCAATCCATATCAAAACCCCAATAGCATTGTTTGCAGAAATGGAAGACATAATCCTAATAACCATATGGAATCACAAAGGACCCCAAATAGCCAAAACAATCTTGAGGAAAAAAAAGTTAGAGGCCTCACACTGTCATTAAAACATATGACAAAACTACAGTAATCAAAACAGTATGGTACTGGCATAAAAACAGACATAAATGGACCAGTGGAATAAAATAGAGAACCAGATATAAAGCCACTGATGTATGACCAAACAATCTTCTACAAGGGTGCCAGACTACACGATGGAGAAAACAATCTCTTCAATAAATGGTGCTAGGAAAACTGGATTTCCACATGCCAAAGAATGAAACTGAAGCTTTATCTTATACCATACACAAAAATCAACTCCAAATGGATTAAATACTTAAATGTAAGACCTAAAACTATAAAACTTCTTGAAGAAAACATTAGAAGAAAGCTTCTTGACATTGACACAGGCAATAATTTCTTGGACATAACACCAAAAATATAGACAACAAAAGCAAAAATCAACAAGTAGGACTACAACAAACTAAAAAGCATATGTGCAGTAAAGAAAACAGTGTACAGAATGAAAAAGGAACCTACAGGACGGGAGAAAATATTTGCAAACTATATATCTGACAAGGGGTTAGTACATAAAATACATAAGAAACCCCACAATTCAATAACAAAATTAATAACCCAATTTGAAAATCAGCAAAGAACTTGAATAGCACTTCTCCAAAGAAGATATACAAATAGCCAACAGATATCATATTTAATATATATATATATATATATGCTGTATATATGCTACATATACACACAGATGTATATGTATATAAATGGTAAATGAAAAGATGCTCAACATCAGTAATCATCAAGGAAATGCAAATCAAAAACACAGTGAGCTATAAGGCAAGTAAGCGGTGAGGATGTAGAAAAACTGGAATCCTACTATACTATTGGATGGAATGTAAAATGATGCCATCAGTATAAAAAACAGTATGGAGTTTCCTCAAAAAATAGAAAGTTCAACTACCATATTATCTATCAATCCCACTTCTAGGTATTTGTCTAGGAGAACTGAAAGTCAAATCTAAAGAAGTATTTGCATTACCATGTTCATTGATGCATTATTCACAATAGCCAAGAGGATGAAACAACCTAAAAGCCCATCAACATTACTGGATAAAGAAAATAGGTGTATACATAAATGAAATGCTACTCAGCCTTTAAAAATGAAGGAAATACTGCCATGTTACAATATGGATGAAACTTGAAGACATTATGCCAGGGGAAATAAGCTAGTCACAGGACAATAATTGCAAGATTCAACTTATAAGAGTTACCTGTTCATCACACTGATGGAGGGAGAAAGTAAAATGGTGATTGCCAGGGATTTGGGGCAGAGGAAAATGGGAACCTACTGTGCAATGGGTACAGAGTTTCAGTCATACAAGATGAAAATTTCTAGAGATCTGCTGTATAACAATGCACATATGGTTAATAATACTGTACTTAAAAATGTGTTAATAGATTTCATGTTATATATTTTTTACCACAATTTTAACAAGGGGTTGGGGAAGCATGAAATTTGTATGGCATGACTTGTCCACATTCGAATGGCAGCCAGCTTCCAGGGATCAACATTTCCATTTGTAGTAACGCAGATCTTTATGAAAATATCTTTATGGAGGCCGGGCATGGTGGCTCATGCCTGTAATATCAGCACTTTGGGAGGCCGAGGCAGGTGGATCACGAGGTCAAGAGATTGAGACGATCCTGGCCAACACAGTGAAACCCCGTCTCTACTAAAAATACAAAAAAATTAGCCAGGCGTGGTGGCACGCACCTGTAGTCCCAGCTACTTGGGAGGCTGAGGCGGAAGAATCGCTTGAACCCAGGAGGAGGAGGTTGCAGTGAGCTGTGATTGCGCCACTGCACTCCAGCCTGGTGACAGAGCAAGACTCCGTCTAAAAAAAAAAAAAACAGTTGGGGGAATCAATAAATTATCATGTATTTAAAAAATATATATCTTTATGAAACTGGACTGACAGCAAGCTTTCCTGTACGGTTTTCAAATTCCACTTTCCACTTCTGAGAAATGAGAATGACACTTATGCATCTTTAATGTTCTAGTACCTTTCTTTTTATTAAGATTTTCCAGAAATTATTTACCGTAGTTTGAAAAATTCAATAGCAAGTTACCCTAGTATTCTGAGATAAAACTGACCTGGGTCAGAAGATTTTAAATAAATGGTTAGATGCTTACCTGCTTTCTTACATGCTACCACTCACCTATCTCAATTTCCCTCTGACCAATGTTTTTTTGTACCCTTTCCAAATTAATTTGCATTCTCTCATAGAGAATGTTCTAAAACAAACTAAAAAAATACTAAGCAATTTCACTTTCTTGTAACTGCTCACATTACACCAAACAGCAGGCCCAAGCTTTTAACAATACAATTAAAATAATCAAATATATGATTCTTATAAGTAGCAATTATTTATATAATTTTTTAAAATATAGCTATTAAAATTCTAATTTCATTGCTTACTTTTAAATATGCAGCTGCCTCTTGAACAGAAAGCGTTCTTTGACTAGAACTGCCACATTCATGATCTCCTAGAAAGATTAGCATATTATTAATTTTGAATCAGTACTCTGTTAAACAGAAAAAAAACAAACATGATTAATCAAATATTTTACATATTATACAATTAAAGGTTATATTATTACAATCAGTAAAGGAAATGAACAATATTATTTATACTTTCTAGAAGAAATTCCAGTGTATAAACAAACAACTACAGAATGTTTTAGTTACCACGACTTACATTAACCACAACTTTTAAATGTATTTCAGTCCAAATAGAAACATATCTTCCTCTTCTATTCCCAACTAAATTATAAGCTGGTATAGGAACTATGTCACACTGATACCTATCCACAGATCTTGGCACACAAGATGCCTTCCAGAAATACGTATTATTCCTAAAAGGGAAAAAATTCAGCAAATTCATTGTGCTAGCTTAATTAATACATCTATTATTAAAGCTAATTATTTAAGGGTTCAAATAAGTTCAAATTTATTAATGTATTATAAAGCTTGTCCATTTTCAAAGTCTAACTAATCCTATCTTTAGCAAAGGGTGTGCATGCCTTAAAAACTGTTGTAACATAGCCAGGTGTGGTGGTATGTGTCTATAGTCCGAATTACTCGGGAAGCAGAGAAAAGAGGACAGCTTGACTCCAGGAATTTGAAGCTGCAGTGAGCTGTGATCACCCTACTGCACTCCAGCCTGAGTACCAGAATAAGATCGTGTCTCAAAAAAAAATCTTTTAAAAAAAATTGTCATAACAGATCAACACAGAAATCAGGTACAAGTTACTACCTATGATCTGGTTTCTACAAAGGAAGGTGCTACATATAAACCTTTGGAAAACTACATTTTTCTTTTAATTGTTGATAAGAGAATTCAGAGCTTATTCTTTAGGCTATAAGTGGCTACCAGCAAGAAATTATCCTCATATTGAACTCCAATTGTCATGTTTTCCTTTCCCTGTGTGTTTCAAGTAGTTAGAAAACTTTTGTTAACATGGAAGTAGAATAATTGAAGTAAAATCCTTGGCAAATGTTTCTAAAAGAAAAGTAGCCATGTTCTTATTTCAGTTTTGTTCAAGTAATATGATTTTAATGTCAGTAACCATAAAAAGGGGAGAAGTACCTATTAGATGAACAAGTCTTGAAAGTTTATTAGTGTATCCTCAGAGATTCAGATCCCATAGAGTTAAAGCAGAGGTCTGCAAATTATAGTCCACAGGTCAAATGTGGCCTACTGCTGGTTTTTAAAAGTGAAGTTTTACTGGAATACAGCCAAGCTCATTTACTTATGTAGTATTTATGGCTGTTTTCATGGTATAATGGAACTGAGTAGTTATGACAGAGGTAGTCTAGCCTACAAAGCCTAAAATATCCACTATCTGACCCATCACAGAAAAAAAGCCTGCTGACCCTTGCTCAAGAGGGAATCCATATCTTTAAAAGCACACCAGATTATGCCGATTTAGTGGGCCATGAACCATACTTCATAAAACATTGCTATAGAGATAGCTGTAGAAGCTTGTGACAGTAACATCCCTGGCTAGCGTAACTAGCATATACTTATCTCTGGGTGCTACAGCATATCAAATAAATGTCATTAGCTTATAGTGTGTGAATGACAGTCAATCAAAGCAAAGAACACTTTTAGTGATATAATACAGAATTATAACCCTAAAAAACTGACCAGAATTAAGAACCCAATGGAAAAAACAAAGAGAGATGAGAGGATAGGAAGCTCTCAGGATCCTAAATACCTCCATTCAACCAGAGAATTTCCATATTTACCTATAGGCTTCTACCAATAATCTTTACACAAATGATTTGCTAAATAGAAAAGTTTGAAAACTACATTTTTCTTTTCTTATAACTGCTTATAAGAATTCAAGTCTCTCCTTTTAGATTATATGTAAAATAAGAATTAAAAAAAGTTAAAAGGTAAGAGATAAGCTGCTACTGCAATTTATATGTGCTAAACTTGATACCAATTCATCTATAATAAATTATTCCAATTTCAGACAAGTTGATTACCTTAGAGCTCTCAAAGAATTACTAAGAGCAGAATATGAGGAAAATGCAATGAATCAGGAAGGAAAATTGCAGAAGAACAAATTTACTTTATCCAAGGGAATGATACCTACATAACCAACAAAAGAAAACCCATATTTGTATATTTAATCCAAGATTTTAGTTAATTCATTGCTTCCCTAATTCCCTAAACCTCAGGATTTTTGGTTACTATTAATGCAATAAAGAAATTTGATCAACTTTAAATATATAACATATAATATACATATATTACCTCTAATACAGAGAAAAAAAGCCTTGATTAAATACACATATATAAATACATATATAAAAATAAAAAATCACTCTGTATAGGCAAGAAAAACTTCTAAAGAAAAATATTCCACAAATATAACATTGGATTTGAAAAAATATTTCTGCTAATGACATGCAACATATACAAATAATTTTTTTAAAAACATTTTAGTGACTATAAAACTATTACCTGCAAGCTGTGCCAATCGATCATGAAGCTTATATAATGTGTTCATCATAAGATTTTTTTCACTTTCCTAAAATTAAAAGAAGTGATTATGAAATACCCAATTCCAAGAAAAAAAATACACCAAATAATTCTTATTCAAAAAACCAGTAAATTAAAAATCACAGAAGCTACATTATCTGAAAGACAAATTCATATTTAAATAATGGGTACCATATTTTTAAGAAACCTTAATCTAAGACTCTAAATTACCACTCTAAATATTTCACTTTCTGGAGAATGATTTAAAAATTGGCATAAGGTTAGTGGTAAAAAAAAGGTCTCACAGACAATAAACTCCATCAACCACCAAAGAAAAGTTCCCAATCCCCCTCTATACAATGCATGCTTATGTAAATTGTTCATATGAGACTGTTTTCTTCATCAAGGCTGCCCTTCATGTTTTGTTTTAATCTGACTCAACCACATAAAACTAAGGGAATGAGTTTTGGCACGCTGACTGATATTCAGTTCTCTCCTGGGTTCCCAAGGTGCCCCTGTATAAACATATGAACCATTTAAATGAAACAAACATTCAATAAACATCTACTAGGAGTTAAGAACTGTTCTCTCATCCAAGTGACAGACCCAGTGAACAAGATGGTTCCTGTTCTCAAGGGCAAAAAACATAGTAAATGTTATATAACAACTGCAGAATAATATAGAAGATTCTCTTCCTTCCTCCTTCTGTAAATACAGAAGGAGAAGGAGGAGGGAAGAGAATTTATGGAACAGAATATTTGAGTCCAATTTCAAAGGAAAAAGTAACAGATCAGCATTCTAGGCAAAAGGAAGACCCTGAGCAAGGGCACGAAGGCATGAAAGCATTGGTTATATTTCTTACATAACCAGTAGCCTAGTTTGATTCAGCAAACTATTAGAAAAGTAGTTAACTACCAGACAACCCTGGATAGCAAAACAGAGAGTTTGACTTCATTCTGAAAATTTAGCAGCAGAGTTAAATAGACTTGTGCATCAGAAATACTACCCAAACCAGAATGTAGAGGCTGGCCTGGAAGCAGAAATAATTGTATGAAAAGAGTTAACATAGAGAAGTATTGAAATGGTATACCCTAAGCACCTGCCAAATAGTCTAAAGCAACAAGACCTCCAATTTAAGAGCAATTACAATCAAGAAGGATCAATATAAATGATGGAGGAGGGTAGGCTGCGGAGGGGGTAATAACTTATCATACTATCTAAAATAAATTCATGATTCATCAGGGGGCTCCATCTTTATTATTTTTTTTCTTCCTCAAGTTTCCAACAAAACAGAATTACTGGATGAATAGGATCATGGAGCAAATTGAAGCAAGATATAAAAGGCTAGAAAAGTAACACTTTATACGTCTAATAACATGCAACCTCATCCATTTATTTTGTGCTGTATGTTCAGGGACAGAAGAGAACAAGTTTGCACACTATGGGTGGCATGCTTTGGTCACTGCAGCTTTAACCAGTGACACTAAGAAGAAAACTCAGCAAAAGCGCCAAGATCCTAACACCAGAGTCCCTAGTTTTATGTCAGATGGTTGACTGAGATAAGTTAGTTATTCCTTCAGTTTACTACTTGCCTTCCTATATATACATTTTTGCTTCAACTTTATCTCAATCAGATTCTGAATCAAGCCAGTCCTTATCTTCACATAAAATCAAAAATTCAAACTGCAAAAATCAGACATCAAAAAGTAAAAGCAGGGTCTGAAACTCAGGTTTCTAAAGCCTAAGCATTTGTGATACATTAAACCATGAAATCATTTGTAATAAATATCTTCAACATAACAGGATGAGTAGGTGTTCCATTAATAGTGTAGTTTATGGATGTGACACATAAAACCAAGGTGAATCTAGTTAAGCTTTGGGATTAAAGCAACTGAAAGTTTTGTGTTTCTTTCCTCTAATCTGGATAAGAGACTGATTTCCTTTTTGTTTTATATGTCCTATCATGCTCTTCCTCACTTCCCTTTCAAAATTTAAACATTTGGCATCTGTCCTCTGTGATTACATCTTTAATAAACTTAAGAGGGACCTAGAAATAAACTTCAGTTTTTGACTCACAGATATTAAACACTGGACTAGTTAAGTAGAATTAACAAAACTTAACCAGATAGAACTGATCTCATACTGGATGACGTTCATATTGTCACATTCTCATACAAATAACTTAAGAACTCAGAAAGCTCAACTATAGATTTTTACAAGAATTATCTTTCCAATGAAAATTTATTTAAGATCGGGTAAGGGGGCCCACACCTGTAATCCCAACACTTTGGGAAGCTGAGGCAGGAGGACTGCTTGAGCTCAGGAATTTAAGACCAGCCTGGGCAAATGTGGCAAAACCTTGTCTCCACAAAAAATACAAAAATCAGCCAAGTGTGGTGGTGCACACCTGTAGTCCCAGTTCCTTGGGAGACTGAGGTGAGGATCACTTGAGCCCAGGAGGTTGAGGCCGCAGTGACTCGTGATCACGCCACTGCACTCCAGCCTGGGTGATGAAATGAGACCTTGTCTCAAAAAAAAAAAAGAAGAAGAAACAGAATTTAAATGACCATCTATATACCAGAAGGGCCTCAACTGCTACCTAAATGGCTGACTAAATTATAATCTAAGTAGGTATTTATGATATATACTATTTACTTTATCTATCTATCTATCTATCTATCTATCTATCTATCTATATTTACAGTCTTGCTCTGTCACCCAGGCTGTAGTAGGGTGCAGTGGCATGATGATATATGTTGTTAAGTGAATGAATACACTTTGAGAAAGAAATAGAAAGGTTTTGGTTCAATTATCTTTAGTACCAGTACACTAAACTAGCAGTAAATCTGAGAAGTATGTAAATCAACTTTTACGATTACTTACTGGTTTACAGTTTGATTATACCCTTCTTCCATTTTGACTGCTTTTCAGATTGTCTCCTAATATTGCAGCTTAATATCTAACTATGGGCTTCCCTAAGCATTCTGCAAATTAGTTAGAGTTTCACAAGTAAATACATAAAATAAGCTTTCAAATAATCTTTCATTAAATAAAGGCAATTTTATTATTTGAATTAGCAACTTTCTAATTCTGTGTTTTAGTAAGGCCCAGATTATTGTTTTTCATTTTGGAGGGAAAAAAATCTATAAGGTGACTCTATCCAATTTTCTCATATATTGTCACCATTAAATATTTCCCTCTTCAATCCTCAGCCAATTTTCTCTTCAAGGATATTTTCAACTGTCTGTATTATGCCTTTGATTAAATTATAATGAATTTTAACACTTGTGGTACGGTTTGGCTCTGTGTCCCCACCCAAATCTTGAATTTAATAAACCTCACATGTCATGGGAGGTAACTGAATCATGAGGTGGGTTTTTTTTCCTCCATGCTACTCCCATGAAGGGATAGTCAATAAGTCTCATGAGAGCTGATGGTTTTATAAAGGGGAGCTGCCCTGCATATGCTCTTTTGTCTGCCACCATGTAAGACATGACTTTCACCTTCTGCCATGATTGTGAGGCCTCCCCAGTCATGTGGAACTGTGAGTCAGTTAAACCTCTTTCCTTTACCCAATCTTGGTATGTCTTTATTAGCAGCGTAAGAACAGACTAATACAACTTGGCATGGGGCCTTGTACAGAATGAACATTTAATATAAGTAAACAACCATTATCTTAATTATAATTATTACTATTATTCAGAAGTTCAGAACTTCAGTTTCCTCCATGGGAAAAATTAAGCAGAAGAAAACAGTCTTCTATTTCCAATGTTCAGGATATATATATACATACATATATACCAAATTTAAATTATGACACTGTAGCAGTGTTATACTTAATAATGCAACTGAATAAGTCAACTTTGTTTTAAACAAATATCACCACAACAGAATATTACTAATCATTTCAGAGTTCCACTTTAACAATAGAAAGTAATATTCTATGGATGTGATTACACATTATTACACATCCTTCAGTACAACAAATAATGTTTTCTATACAGGTCTATATAACAGTTCCTATAATAAATAAACAACTAATTACAAGCTTAAACATCATCATCTCCGACATCCCTGCAATGATGGGTAAGTGAAAAATATCTTTATATAAGTAAAATTTAGGTTAAAATTAGTATTATAGCACTCTTTAAAACAAAAGAAATAGTCTGAAGGATATGCTTCCTTTCTAAGTCCTTTGAATGGTCAAATAGGCATTCCAATATGGAGAAGATCCAAAGAGGTAAAATGAGGGCAAAACGGACAAAAACTCTAAGGTATCCAACAACTAAAGGGAACAGGCATACTTTTATGTGTAAGATCAGATCCATTGATGATATGCCACTCTCATTTTACTTGGCAGCTGTCTTTTACAGTAAAGTGATGAACACTTCAGCTCTTAGGATAAAATCTGTGTCAGATTTAATTATACTACAGTTAGGGAATACTCAGAATAAGAAAACCTGTTGTTTTATACTAAAATAACCTTAAAATTAATATTTTTTTAGTTGATAGTCATCCTATACTTCCATCATATAAAACATGACACAAAATTATCAGTACTGATCTTTTACTTACTTGTATTTTTCCAAATGTTTCATCAAAGGGGTTTTCTACTATCAAGAAAAGAAAAAAAAGGGAAGTATTAGCATCACTTAAGAATTAAAATCCCCCAAACAAACTCTGAACTGCCAGCATGTACTTTGCTAAAATAGGATATAAATATGCAAACCAAATGTAAACAAACTAGTGATAATAAAGGTTGAGGAAGTACTTTTTCAGACTTATACTTATTCTCATGTTGAATTCGTGGTTTTCCTCATAATCATTGAAATAAAGTGTTCTGGTGTCAGAGAAACTGAGTTCAAGTACCAGCTCCACCTCTACCACTTATTAGCAATGTCTCCTTGAACTAACATCTAATTAGCTACCCTAAATTGCAGTTTCTTCTTTAAAGGAGTATGGATAACAATGATACCTACCTTAAACAGTTGTTTTCAGGATTAAATGAGATACACAAGATAAAATGTTTGACACCATGTCAAGCACTTAATATGCACTCAATATACACTATTATTATTACTGTTAATGACTATATCATTTGTTTCCACCTTAACTTGATTTCTCTTCAAAATATAGACTAACAAGCAGTTAACTACTGAAAGAAATCTACAAGATGCTTTAAAACTGAGTAATTCATTTAGAATTCTGACTTCTAATGATTTTTTTTTTAATTCACCTTCTAATCCTTGCTAACATCTGGAAAAGTGGCAAGAAAAAAAAATACAGATCAAAGTAACTAAGAACTAAGTCTCAGTATTAAACAATTCCAAATTTCTAATAAAATACTGTATAAAAAGGAAAGGATTTACCACTTTCCATCCAATCCTTATCCCCCTCCTTTACCTCTAAATTAAGATACAAAAATGTTTCCAGGTCACAACTAAGACTAACTAAAACTAACTGATCTTACAAAGTAGTTCACATTGACCAGGTTTCCTTTCTGAGATGCTTTTCTATTTTTAGTTGAGAAAACAGGAAGTCCCGTAGGAACCAGGAACTGTCTGATTCTAAGAAAGTTCAAGTGAGACCAGCTTAACAAGGTACAATAAAAAAGCAAGGGAAAAAAAAATGTATCCTGTTATCATCATAAGGGATTTTGCTAATGGATTTTTAAACAACATTTCTCTATACATCAAAAGGGTTTCAAAGTCAGGAAAGAAAAAGTTTTGAAAGATACTACAGAAAATCAAAAGTACTCAAAAGGGTAATCAGGAGAATAAATAATACAGCTTCAAGAGTAAATAAAATGTTAAGGATCAGAACACATGTACTAAAAAGACACCCTTTTAATATTATTTTTTCAATATAAACATTGAACAGCTATACTTAGCTCAATATACTACCAAAACATGCCTTGTCATTTGGTCAAGAAAATAACAATAAATTAGCCAAACAATACTAAGTATAAAAGGTATTTTATTTGCTCTTTATAAAAACAATTCTTAAAAATATAAAAGTAGTGTGCGGTTCCAAAAACAATGAAGAAAAAAGCTATGCTAGTGTTGCTTTTTGATTATACACAAAATTACTTTTTGTCAAGACTATCAAATGGAAAATCAGTTCTTTGAGTGGCTCCATAAAAGCATAACCGTAAATTATGAATTTACAGACTGCTCTACTGTGGGTTTCTCAGGACAGAGGCTCTGTGTTATTTGCATGCGTATGCCCAGAACCAAGCATAGTTCTATACATACAGTTAGTGCTTGAAAAATGCTGGCTGTGCTATCTAGGCACTCCTCTTTATTTCACTTTGTGTGTTAACACTGAAGCAAAAGTGTTAAATTCTGCAGGAAGCTGGAGGAAGGTATGTTCCGAGCTACTGGGGAGGGAGAAGGATAGGATAACACAGAGAAAGCTGAAGAGGGAAAAAACAATTTTACTGAAAATATCGCTCTGCCCCTAGTATCCTTCTAGATTTCTGCCTCTTGCCTTGTAGTCTAAAATACCTGAGAGTACAACATACCTAAAACAGCCAAGAGGATACTTTGCGCCCAACAAACCTTCTGTTAAAAATTTTTTTCCCCAAATGCTTATCATAATTGCCACCTATTAAATGAACAGAGACCTATTAACAACAGCAGAAGTAAAACATATCCTTGGGGTTGTTTTTACAAGGAAACACCATCCAAAAACAGCAACACCAACAAATTAAAGCCCTCAAAGTTTTCAAAGCATCTTTATACATTTTTTTCTTTCCCCAAATCATTTCAGTATTTCCAAAAACACACCAATATCTTCCAGCTCATCCAAATTGCCTAGTCTTTAATGGAAACAATATATACTGTTATACCCCTAGTGAAAATATACAACACCCTCTCCCAATTAGGTAACTGAAGAGAAGAAACCTTGTTTCAAAAGCATCCCACACCAAAAATTTGCCACTTCATTCATTATTCAGTCACTTTTCTATGGAGGGACCTGAGAATGAATTACAGCTGTATCCTATATCCTAGAGCAATGATAATGCCAAGATGGTACTTCAAAATTTACTCTTCCATCCCCTAAAGGCACAACCTTGAAGCCATTTTTGATTTGTTGTCCTCCTTTAACCCTACATTCTCAACAGCCTCTCACTATTGCTTTTTTGGACATTACTTCAATACTTTAGTTTGGATTATCTGAAGCCTCAAATACACCAAACTTGTCTTTGTAAATGTCCTTAATATTTGGACTTCTTATCCCTTTAAACTATCCTAATAACTGCAAAATGAAATCACTAAAATGTTTCATTAGAACCCTCAAAATCTTCCAATGGTTTCTAATCACACTTTGTTGCAAGGAACAAATGCTTATCTTATGATAATTGCTTATAAACACAAAATGCTTCTCCACCAAATCCCTTCTTTCCCCTAACCCCCTACCAATTCCAAAAATGTTACTAGTTTTACTGATCTTTTCTCAAATGTAAACTGCTTTCCATTCTCTTACATAGAAATAGAATTTATCAACTGTTACGAATTCTCAGATTTTATAAGTTTATAAACTTCAAAGTATATGCTTTGCTAGCTTAAGAGTCCTAAGCATTTGGAGAATAAATATCTGCTATTTATGACTCAGGAAAACAGGCAATAGTACATTCAGGATGCTTTCCTACAGCTTTCTTTGGATCAACACATCCGGCTTCAGTCTGCTATGACAATTTTTTGTTCTGTATACTTGGAACCACTGCCAATTACAGCACATAAAAATATTCTCTCAGAAGACTGAGCATTTGATCTTTCTGGTCTTCTTTAAGCCTGAATGTTTTTCATCTCCATTCTGCCTTGAAGATTCAGTTTACAGCTATGCTACAACCATGAAGGATGCCTAATCACTGCAGTTTATCATGACCTCCTTCTCAGAATCCCCCTTCTCAGAATCTCAGTAATTTGCTCCCCTTTATGATTTCACTATTTGGGTTCAGCCCCTCACCCCCAGCCCCAACAAGACTGCAATATCGCCATGTATCTCAATGCCTTTGCAGATATTGGGTGCTATGCACATGCTGAACAAATAGAAACTTGAAGGCATACTACAGTCTCCTAGAATAGCAGCTTCTTCAATGCCAGAAAAGTACTATATAGTCTTGATCACTACAACCCTCTCCTTTGAATAAAAAGGAAATTATGTTTACTGAGTTCCTAATATGCGCCAGGAATAATGCTGTTGCCATGTACTCAAGAAGTACACTCATTTCATCCTCATAACACTACCATTTAGAGTAGATATTAGTTCTATTTTTACAGACAGAAATATTGAGACATGTTGAGATTAAGTTGTTTCCTTGAGGTAAACATAGTTTAAGAAGCCGGGATTCACAAATATGAGATTCAAACCTATTTATGTCTGACTCCAAAGCCTACATAACTCGCATCATAGAAGTAACAGCTATAGAAAATAAAACATTGGTTTTATTTAAAGAAAGCATGCGCTAAAACTTTTCAATTTTGAATCATTAATCTGCTTATGATATTGATATAATGTATCAAAAATGACAAAAACGGGGATATGGGGGAAAACAGGCTGTTGGAAAACATACTATTGTCTCTTAAATGAGGAAAAAATTCTCCTCAAAACAAATTCTCCAATTGTAGTCTAGGGAAGTATTTTCCATGATATATCAAAATATAAAGTATCCAGTGAGTTCCATGGATGGAATTATTCACTCCCCTTCTCTCTGAGGCCATGGCACTCTGTTTATATGACTACCATAAAGTGTACCACATGGCATCAGTTTTAAAAAATTATAATTTCTGATTTAGTACCATACTACATCTAAACAATATTTTCATTTAGCTTCATCTTGCAACATAAAATATTTGCAAATATATAAAGTGCCTACTCAGTCCAGGTATTAGGCTAGTTACAAGAGATTTAAAAATTAATATATATAAGCCCTGTTCTCAGAAAGTTCAGTCTGGAGGGCAGCAATTCTACAGACAGCAGTTTTAAAGGCAGTCTCTTGTATCTAAAACTCCATGACCTTAAGGCTAGTGCAATCTTAAGGATAGTTAAGTCATCTAGACAGTTACATTCAGCTGCCTGAATGAGCAGTTCTCTCTATATATTACATCTTTTTGTAAACAGACAGTCAAATTCTCAAATCCTATCTTCTAGCATTAATGGTTTAAGCACAGCATAATTTTATGTGAAAAAGAGGGTTGTGGGTGAGGGGAAATGTTTCCAACAGCTGCAAAACACTGCACCTGTGTGGCAAACACTTCTGCATTTCACTAGCAACCAGATTAATCTAAAAATGGATAGGATTAACAAGGCAGGACATTCTTTAGCAACACAGCATTTTGCCCATTTGTTTTCTGAAAGTTCTCTAATTGTTTCATGGCTTCATTAAATAGATGGTCATTCTAGATGACAGGAACAGTCCACTTGATGTATACTTAACAAAGTATTATGAATATTGAGATTACATAATCGAAATAGGAAAAGTTTTAACAACAAAAGTACGTATTACTGTCTTTCATAAAACTTGCCTAAGGGAAACTCTTGTACCACCACCCTTGTATTCATCAATAATCTTTCAATTGGAGAGAGATCCAAGATGGCCAATCACTAG